GCCTAGATCTAGGCCTACTGCTGTCGAAAAATCAGGGGGTTGACCTTTAAATTTCCTCTTTAAAGTCAAACAAATGTTAGCGATGCTCAGATTAAATGATACGTAGTTAAACGAAAGGAACAAAAAGAGGAACTTACCAAACAATTTCTACATGAACTTTGAGCAACAGTTCGAGATGGAGAAGGGGGATCGGGTCGCACACAGATTACACGCTCAATAATGCTCGATAAGCTAGCAAAACTAGTCTGCGCAATGAAACTAGAATACTAAAACTTGAGTCTCTTTTAATTTTTAAAATAACTTTACACATAATCAAAGAGGGTACACGAAAACAAAAATTACAAAATATTAAAGTGTACTATATTTAAGTAGATGAAATATATTTTATTGGAAAATTCAGTCACTAGAACAAAGCAAATGGCAATTCGAATTTAAATCAGGTCTGAATATTATATACTAGCTTAGGCAAAGTAAATAGGGAATCCCGTTCTTAGGCTTCTAGACAAGTGCGCTACGAGCTCAGTATGCATGATATAGGAACACCACTAAACTTTTTGAGGGAAAAAGGGGGGGGGGGGGGGGGGGGTACCTACAAAAGGAAACCTCAAAGCGAAAATATGCAATTGTTTAACATTGTTATATACCCCTACAACATCGTGATTAATATATCAAGGATTATTTCAATATCTTTTACAAGGTCCAAGATACAGTTGGGTGTGATGGTCTGAATATTCATTTGCGAGGGAGCGAATTAAGCGAGCAAACAAATACGATTTGTGAGGTCACATTACATTACATTGTGAGGTCACATCACATTACGACCAATGAGATATTATAAAGACAAAGAAAAAAGACCCTGATTGAGTTTTAAGCACAATCTCATCATAAAAGCCTGAAAATCCTTTAATTAGTTACAACATTACATCATATCTCATGAAGAAAGTTGGTCTTAGTCGCTTTATATTAGGGGCGCGTGTTATGCTCATAATGGCAGTCTCCTACGTTTTCTGTAATTTTTTTTTCATTGAAATTATATTTGGGTTGTATGCATCTTATTTAATGTACTTAAAAATTAATAATTATGTAAAAATTTTACATAATTATTTTCAAAATAGTACATAATCATATACATAAAGTAAAAAAAAATTCCTCATTTAATGAGGAATTTTTTTTTACTTTATGTATATGATTATGTACTATTTTGAAAATGCAGAAATAAAAACAAACAAACAAACAAAAAAAGGAACAGGAGCCATGTCAGAGGAAACGGGGGCATGTATCAAAATAAAGGGGGCACTCACCAGAGATGAAGAGGGGCACTTATTATAAAGAAAAAGATGCACGTGTCGAACGAAAAAGGGTACTTTTCAGACGTTAATACTATGGGGGCATTTATCAGAGGTGAAAAGGAGGAATTATAAGTTGGGAAAGGGGCTCTTATTAACAAGGATATGTAGCACTTATCAGAAAAGGGGATTTTATTAGAAAGGAAACGGGGGCATGTATCAAAATAAAAGGGGTACTTATCAAAGATAAAAATGGGCACTTAAAAGAAGGGGAAGGGACACCTACAGGAAATTATGTAAAAGGGGCACTTTATGGGTACTTCAAATAAAGGGAAATCATGTACTGGAGGTTCCCGCCCTATCTGTTCAAAAACTCATTATCCCTATATAATTTAATCAAATTTCAAAGTCATCACCAAAGAGCCTTCATCAATCCTCTCCCATGACTCTCTAACTTGTCGTTTATAAGGAAACACCTTGGAATTCTTCATTAAAACTCCTCAATGCAACAGTAGAAATTATAATACTATAGGGATTGAAATAGACCTGTATTCTTTAAAGCCCCACTGTCCTACTTATGGCTATACTTGCTCCCTCTATATTGAAAACTTCCTCAATCGGTGCCTGTTGGTCCCCAATGATCCTCTATTTCTTATGTTATTTGAGAGCTGAGTTGATGAGATAGCCACCTGTCAGTGACCTCGCTGTGTGGTCTAATCCCTCCTAGCACACTAGTGTTGATAAGCTTTAAATTATGTACTGGAGGTTTTCATATAGCAAACAAAGCCTGCCGTAATCGGTACCCGTTGATCAAAAAAGAGACAAAAACACAAAAACTCATTAACCCTATATAAATAATCGAATTCCAAAACTCCAATAGACTTCAGGGTCATCACCCGAGAGCCCTCCATGTCCTATCCTCTTTCAATTCTCTCTAACGTGTATGTTATAACTTATAAGAAACACTATGAACATTATTATGTAAAATGTGTAGAACAGGTGAATATGCATGTGACACCTGTTCTACAGATTTTTTACACAATAGCAGTGAAGGGATTTTCTTTGTCTACCATAGCAATTGTTGAGGGTAGAATGAGGAACAGTATATTTTGTCCGCTTTATTTGTTCGTCATGTTCATAGTGAAGGCACCTTTAAATTCTTCATTGAATACTCCTCAATTAGAAAATAAATAAATAATACAACAATACGGATTTCAATAGGGATGAGCTCAACATTTAAGACTGCATGCAATTAGTTCCAGACTTTAATGCATCCAAGGGCAGCACCCCAAAAATAAAGACAACCACTCATCCCTCAAAGTATTTTCTAATACCTTAGGGTTCACGACCACAAAGGTCACATGTACTGGATGCTCCCGTCCTATCTGTTCAAAAACTATTTATCCCTATATTATTGATCGATCGTATCTATCCTCTCCCAAGACTCTAAATTGTCTTTCATAAGGAAACACCTTTGAATTCTTCAGTAAAACTCCTTTATCCAATAATGAAACAGTATAAATTAAAATACTATAGGGATTAAAAATAGACCTGTATTCTTTTAATCATATACTGGAGGTTTCCCGCCCTATCTGTTCAACGATACTAAATCGAATTCCTAAATTTCGATAAACTTCAGAGTCATCACCTGAGAGCCCTCCCTATCCTCCCCAAGGCTCTTTAACTTGTCTATATAAGAAAAGACCTCCTCGATTAACCATATAATAGGGATTCCAATAGAGAGGACCCCGACTAATACATTAAAGGTAATACAAAGTTTTGGTATGGGATGATGAATTTGGTTCAAATGAACATATTGGAAGCAGTGGCGTACGCAGGATTTTTTTAAGGGGAGGGCCCAAAATTTCGCAACGACTCAGCCAGCCGCTGAATAAGCGGGGAGGGGGGGGGGGGGGGGGACACTTTTTATTTTTTTGGGGGGTCTCGAAATTTGAAAATTTGACATTTTGTCCAGTTGGGGGGGGGGGGGTAAGGTCACCTTTTTAAGGTCACCTATTGGCAATTTTTTTTTCCTTTTTTATTTTTAAAAGGGGAGGGTTTTCCAAAATAACATACAAAAAACATACACATAAAAAAACCCACCCCCCCCCCCCCGCCGTACGCGCCTGATTGGAAGCATCTGCGATCCTACAATATTCAGTGATCGTTGTCGAGGTCGAAATCGACTCTAAATTTATGAAATTGTAAATAATAAACACTTTATGTTGTATAGCTCCCTCTCAAGGTCAAGATATTAATTAAGCTATAAAACAATGTATCTTGACCAAAATCGACCGATTAGATATATATTCCCGTTCGGAAATTATATAGCAAAACTACTTTCTGAGATTTTCATGGTCGCAGCTACCATTGTACGGCCCGTAGGAGCTATTTGAAATTTATCCAAATTTACCGGGATCACCGGTAAATCTTTATATTCGATTTTTCTCAAAAGCAGAAGTGTTTTAGGGGCTAACATTTCTAGTGCTTTTAATACATCCACAGGGGCATCCAAATATATCAAAATTGTAAAGAATCATTACCCACCCATTTTACCAAATTTACCAAATACCTTTAATATACCTGTATTGTGTAAGACAAATATACCATTGCAACCAGTGACAGACCTCAATGCATTCAAGGTTACGTAGTACTCTCAAATTTTAAAGGCAATGACCCATCCCTCACTGCATTTAAAAAAAAATACTATGTCCCTTTTGCAGCCAACATCAAATTCTGTAGAACTTTGCAGGAATTATGAATATATTATGTATGTCCTATCTGTGAAATTTAAACTTGAGCAGTGTCCTAATATATAAATTATGCAAGGAAACCCGTTTACTTGCTAGACCCAACTGTCAGACACTAGTGAGTAACAGACTGGCTTTTTTATCTTTGGTAATAACATACATAATAATGAGCTGTAAAGGGGACATGAGCATTTGTCTACATCAATAACCCACTTTTGTAATGGCCTAAATTAAACTGATTGAATCTTTGCGCAGCATGATAAAACGTACAACCGTTCGGTACAATGGTCTGAAAAATCAGACTTTTACTTACTGACTCTATAGCTCCTAAGTCGATTCGACAACTAATAGTCGTTATTTTCCCACTTAAAGACATTTTCAAGCCCCCTTTTTTTAAGGGAAGTTCTAAATTAGGTTTGTCTTTCAAATGCCCTTAGAATTTAACCTTTTCATTTTTTTGGCCTGCAAATGGGACATCGTACCTTTAAAAAACATAAATTATTTCTGTCAATCCCCTATTTATAGATTGACATTCCTTAAAAACAAAACATTTCCTTTCTCCATTTATAATGGAACCAAAGCACGTCTGTAAAAACCAAAAACCCAATACACCAGTTTACAGTTGTATCAGTGCGCATGCGCAGACAGTTGATCTCGGGTCACTGGCCCCGGAAGCGGGGTCAGTGGCCCCGGAAGCGGGGCCAATAACTTTTGACCAGTGGTATTTATGCGTAAATTAAGATTGCGCCCATGCAAATGATGATGTGCGCGCACAACGCAGCGCGTAGGGCAGTGATATCATCAAAATTTGCATGGGCGCAATCCTAATTTACGCATAAATACATGACCTCTAGGTCATTGGCTTTGTTTAAAATGGCGCACACAACTGTAAACTGGTGTATTACAACGCACACACACACGCACACACACACACATTGTTTTTGGTTGAGCGCCCTCTACCACCACATCGTCAGCGGGAAATTTGTTGACATTTCTTAATTCTGTGTTCTCCGATCCAACATCAAGACTAAATCATGGATGCGTCAAAGCGATCTCTCTACGAACCAGCACCGCTTTACAGTGAAAAAGAAACAAGGTAGGTCTAGATTCCTTTTTAAGATGATCTTTTATTTTACCGATTGCATTATGAATACTCGTTAAAATCCACTTTTTTAATTTGATGGACAAGTCCCACACGTTCATTTCTGCGTAGGCTAGCTAAACTGTAAAGTTCTGGAGCTAGCTTGTGATTTAGTGTAGACTAACTTAGATTTCTACTTTCGAGTTTCAGTTTCGTATCCATTTTTGACCCGTAACTCTGGCGGCGTAGAGATACTCCACTAAAATATACCGAAATATAATCTAAATCTTCATCAATTGTTCAAATAATGCCTTGGTCATGATCTGATGATTTAAAAGTTGTTTGTTTTTGACCCTTTTCGAATTTCATGTCAATTTTCCTCATCTTTTTTGGAGTATTTTCCCTAAAAACGAAGACAGTCATTTATACTTAGATCTATAGCACAAGGTGCATTACTATCCTGGCTGTGTATTAAAAGCTGTGCTACTGATTCTCAACATTTCAAACACCACTGTACAAAACTCTGCGCTTGTTCAGAAACATCGAAACCTATCCAAAATTTGACCAGTAACTCCGGCGAGGACGTGGAGATACCCTACTACTAAAACATACCGGTACCCAAAATGAAGTAAATATTCATTAAATGTCCAAATAAAGATCATGAGTTAAAATTTGTTATGTTTCGTGTCAATTTTCTTGGTATTTTTCGGATTAACGTTGATATCAGTATACACTTTTTCACAGGTTTCACGACAAACCGCTGCACAATACAAGTGCATACCGATGGTGGGTTGCGGGCGGGCGTGCACCTGTTTGAAGTTATCTACCGTAATGAGTTTTAAGTATTTTGAGTATGTTTATAGTATGTCTTAGTAGGGTATCTCCATGCCGGAGTTACGGGTCAAATTTTGGATAGGTTTTTGAACAAGCGCCCAAAACTCAACTGATTTCACAAAAAATTGGTACTTTGTGACGATTGATGACACCTTGTATGAATAGATCTAGCAGTGAAATACAATTTTTTCAACTTTCTGATGTAAAAAAGAATAATAATCTAAAAATTCAAATTGTGAGTCCACCATCAAATCTGCCAATCAGCCGCATCAGCAAGATTGTGTGCATCTTTGTCTTATGAGTGTATTGACTATTCATGTATTCAAATGCTGCCTATATTAACACGTAGTGCAGTGCTAGAGGTCTATGCTTTGCTGGAGTGATTTATAGGGCCTAATTATAATTAAAGGGCCCATGACATCGAAATACAAGTGTATTCCTAGAACGAGTCATAAGTCTAACTTCTTGACTAAATCAGCATTAGTGAGCTACTTGTCTGCTACGTGTTTCACGAAGCCCTCTTTGATAACATCAAGGACAACTTCCTGACTAAGGAGTTATGACGCCTTCAACACTGTCATATATTTCTGTCGTAACTATTTAGTCGATGGGCAGCGCCATCACATGTCATTTATTGGGTAGACTATGGCTAGCAAGAAAGGACAATAAATCATCCAGCTATGATCTTTTGAAAATATGTGGAAAATTGGTTTCTGCAGTGATAGCACTTTCCTTTATACCATCCACATGATCGTTAGGATAAAAAGTTACCATTCAATTTGCATAACAAAAACGCTGACCTAATACAAGAGAGTTGTGGTGTTGGTTCGGCCGCAAAGGCAAATACATGCGGTATACACTCAAAAATACCTGTTTTTTTAATTGCCTACCTGATACTCTCTTTACAACAATAGTGTTTAGTGTAAAAGGCGCATGCAGGCAGTTCCCCAAATTCTGTGTGTGTCCCTTTTTGATTTTACAGTAAACTAATCGCTATTATTGTAAAATCAGGATTTCAGGTTTCTTTAGATAATTATATCTTTTTATTCTTAGTCCTTACCTCTTTTTGTTCTTGTACTGTAAAAGGGCTGCACTAGACAATGTGGCTAATCCGCGATACGTGGGATACCAAGAAGGTCTTGTTTAGGGCACAGGCATTCTTGGTGATCCAAACTAGATCTGTTGAATCATAAAATAATAAGAAAGGGAAAATAATTGTAAAAATGTGTGATCCACCAAATAAGATTCTTGAATATTTAGAATCATTTTCATCTCATATATATGCAGACACTGCAAGTGAAGACATTCTTGCATGTCACTGAATCGCTGAAAAACAATATTTCAGTGAAAGTCAGTGATATCTAGTTTGTACCAAATTCTTGTTGACCTATATTTGGTTTCAGATTATCATGCAGCAGCAGCCTTCCATGTTGATGAACGGTGCTATGTGTATTCAGTATTGTTAGTTTGTTTGTGAGCAGAAAACTTCAGACCTTTGTTTCTTGCATGTAAGAACAATTCAAAAGGAAAATTCTAGAAGTAAATTATCAAAATACTGTCCAATTTTAAAAATCAAACACTGTCTCTCACTTTCTTTCAGTGATGTACCTACATGTACTTCTAGTTATATATTTGTCTATCTCATCCCCCTCCTCCCTCTCCCTCTCCCTCTGGCTATCTGTCTGTCTCTTTTTCTTTCTTTCTCTGTCTCTCTCTCCTCTCTCTCTCTCTCCCCTTCTCTCTCTCTCTCCTTCTCTCTCTCTCTCTCCTTCTCTCTCTCTCCTCTCTCTCTTTCTCCCTCCCTCCCTCTCTCTCTCTTTCCTTCTATCTCTCTCTTATAGGAGACCACTGGCCCAGGGACGTCTCACAAATGATACTGTTCTCCCAGAGAGTCTGACAGTGTATGCCTCGCCCTCAGTACTTGCTTCAGACCCAGGTAGAATGAAAGTAAATTATATTATGGTGAAGCAGCAGAGAAAGATTTTAGTACTACGGTCTACAACTAGAATCTGATCTGAGCTCGTTCATATATTTGTCAAAATAAAAAATGTAATTTGTGATAAATGTAAACATCAATGTTTAGGTAATTATTGTACTATTGTATTGTATTCAAGCAATTGTAGCAGTAATCAAATACACTATCAAACTTAGTGATGTACATGTGCATGTAACTGTTAGAATTTATATTCATTTTTTTTTTGCTTGAAAGATATTTTGGACACTATGAATGATCCAGCATTTGCTCTTTCAACGATTGTTCCAGGCTTTACTTTGTCAAAGGTTTAAGCTTTATAGGATAAGGTTGCAATTTGGTTGTAGGGTTAGGGTTACGTTTAGTATTGGGACCAGGGCCGAAGTTAAGAATTCAGTTAGTCTAGGAATTAGATGTGGAACAATTGTCACAGGAGCATACATGTGTCACACAACCAAATCCTGAAACCTCTCATTTTTTCAAATATTCTATTCTACTTCAAATCTACAGTTACTACAATGTTAATTATTTGAAATCACAGACACAGTTGCAAGAATATCCCACAATGCTTCTTCAGGATTTGGTGAAAGTGCGATGACCCCAGCTCGTCACTCCATGGCTAGTCTCAACCTCAGCCACCGCACCCCATCTTTATCAAGTGATATCTCCACATCACTGTCGAGGAGGTAGGTGGATCAGTTCTATAGCATACGTGTTAACGTACCATTAAGGGTTATATATAGATGTACTATTATTATATATACAGGTATGTATATTTATATATATTGAAATCTGTATAAGGACCGCTCCAGGAGTTGGAATTTATCAACATGTTCCTAATTCCTAAGGTACCGATTTCAATAAAAAAACATATTTAAGGGGAACAAAATCTGTGGTCTTTATTGACACATGGTCGCTAAAGCAGGTTTGACTGTATACCGTATTGGCCGGCGTAAAGGCCGCACCCCCACATAGGCCGCACCCCCGATTTTGACATTTAAAAAAAAAAAAAAAAAAAAAAACGTTTTTTTTTTTTTTTTTTTTTGATGTTGTTTTGCTGCCGAAAACCCACGCGTGGAAGGACCTTCATTTAACATCGAGATGCAGTTAAAGGCGCTGATTTGTGCTTGTAAACTTGTCACAAATAATAGTAACAATGTTGTTTTTAGAAGAATGTGTAAGATCATTAATGTGAATTAAAAACAATAAAGTACCTATGGTACCAGTGGTGTACCTTGTGGTACACCATTTGTTATAGAAAAAAATTTGAGGAACTATTATTATAAACTACATATTGAGATCTATTAGAAAGATTACTTTCAAACCAAGATGACAATAAAAATTTAGTGTTGTTGTAGTTTCCGAGTGGTGAGTCAACACACTGATTACTGAGCTGGGAGACATTGCCAGGCATAGCGCCCTAAATCGAAACTAAAAAAAAAAAAAACTTTTTTTACTCTTTCGCCGCATAGGCCGCACCCCGACTTTTGATATTTTCTCTTCCAAAAATACTGCGGCCTATACGCCGGCAAATACGGTATGTATATTTTGAATTTTCCATATATTTATGTGCCTTACTAAAAAACCAGATTATAGCTCTAACTTTGAGTACCGGTAAACAAGGTCCAGAGCAAATGACATTTGTATTGTGCCACAGTTGGATCCCATAGATCAGTGGTTTTTAATCTGGGGTCAGGATTTGGGGTGGGGGGTGGGGGGGTGGGGCATTGTATTTTATTTATTTATTTTTTTTTGGGGGGGGGGGGGTCATAAGTGGAATATGAAACACATATGAATGTAAATTTCGAAGTAGTATAACACAAGCGAGAAAAAATTAATAAAATATTGTCAATAGTCCTCTCAGCCTTATCTTTTGAATGGAACTTATTCAGTATGAATTGAAATTTGTTCATTGCTCGTCACCAATTTTTGTTCTACTCATCCTTCACTATCCAACCATCATCCTCATCTAACCAGTTCACCCACTCATCATCGCTATGCAGTAGACAGGAGTTACTCCCCTCCGAGGTCTCCTTCCAAGCCCTCTCCATCTGACTTCCTGGAACTATCGGACTCGGACAGAGAGTATCGTCATACGGTAAGGCCATTAGTGAAGTAGGTGGAAATACATATTGTACCTTATTCATAAGTTGGACCATATACTATGACAAATAATTGATATCAATTTGACGTTTATGGCCTGGTTTCACTTGAACAGTAAAGATATTAAAGCCATAATCTATAATGATGAACAGTAAATGATAATTGAATGATATATATAGTGATGTACTATAATGATAAACTCATAATTAATGATATACATATATATGATGATAAATTACAGTTTGTATATATATGCATATCTTATAAACCTTTAACAACTGCAATAAAAGTAGGTCTTTCTATCGGTACCTATGAAATGGTTGGAGCTGTCTCAAATAATGCCTGCATAGCTTCTCCTGTATTGACTTTGCATTGAAAGAGTGAAATTATTGAGTCATAGAAATAAGCTTGTCTAAGAAAATTGCTCACTGAGTAATCCTGAGGAGACATCAATAATTGACGGAGGAGGCTCGTTAGCATTAATAATTGAGGTGGAACCTACAACAATTTCTAATACCTTTTCCTCACAAAGAGCAGGGGAGCCATTTGGTGACACTAGTTATTGTTATGGTTATTGTTCAGGAGGGACCCGCCCCTAATGCACTTAGATCTAGTCTTCAACTCCTGATATGTTTACAACTGATATATATATTTTATGTGTTAACCCTTTCACAACAATCTTCCCACATTCATATATTCATATTCATATTTATTTCATTTCCAACAGAAAGGTAAACAAAGATATTACATTTGATTTCATACATAATTCATTTTTCAAGAAACTATACAAATAAACTTTGCAGTTTGCACATAATAAAATTATTACAAGAATTTCTTAATTTCTGAGGAAATGGGGGGGGGGGGATCCACTAAAAAGCAGTGCTTGTAGGTTGTGGATCCCCCAGAAAAAAATAAAAATACAAATGTTTCAAATTTTGCCTACGAAGACTTAGAAAACACAAGACAATATTTCAAAACAACATACAATTTACAAACACGAAACAAACAAGGAGAAGTAAAACAGATAAGAAGGAAAGGGGAAAAGGGGAAGAAAGAAAAAGAAGAAGAAGAAGAAGAAGAAGAAGAAGAAGAAGAAGGACATTACGTGGTTTGGCTCAATAACTTTTGATTCAGAGCCCTTCAGAATATACCAGATGTATGAGAAGAAAGGCAAACAAAGTTCTGCACATGCTGCATCCACTGTGTTTCATGGCTATCTTGTGTTTGATGTCAGGGATCCTACAAAGGAAAATATGCTTTAAAATCCTTAAATTGGCAACACATTGAGAAATTCATGATTGTTTTTCAATCAAAATTGGCAGCTTTTCAACAAGATTCCTGCCCATTTACATTGTTTTCAGAGGCATTACATTTTATCAGAACAATGTAGCAATACAAGAAAAATACTAAGGTTGCCAATTTGAAGGACAACTATGATCAATTAAGCCCTAAAAATAAATCCTGTCCTGAAAGAGTTTTAATAGATTAGAAGTATATCATGGGATTAATAATCACTCAATGTACCCTTCACTGAGGAATGCAATTAGGATGCAATGCCTCTAGTGACATGTATCAGTCTTTAGACAGACTTAATTAGCTACCAAATATTTAAAAACAGTTAATGAGGAAGGAGTATTGGTTAATTAATTGGCTCTCAATCCCAGGGTTCATAATAAATTTAGTAAATTTTAGAAGTTTCTTCAGTTTAATCATTTTCTTGCTTAGCAAGTCAGTGGTCGTGAATCGGTTTTAAAGCGACCAGGTTTTAAAGCGACCAGTTTTCATAGGTGGCCCACAAGATATAATCGTATTTAAGAAATAATTTTTAAGTGTAAATCATAAGAACCTTAAAGTTTAGACAGTCACTCTGTTCATCACGTCACGATACTTCAGTTAGTCTTTGGTCAATGATATCTTCAATCGGGAGCAATGTTGTACATGTTGTAGTTGACTCTCATATAAGAAGGTCATGGGTTTGACCCTTGATCGGTGCTTACGTCCTTGGACAAGACTCACATTTGTCCCTCTTGACACAAATGTGTTAAGTGATTACCATGTAGTGATGGGGGTAATATTATGATATGAGAGGGATAGTTGTTTTGATGGGCTTTTACTGGCATTGTTCGTTTCTTTACGGGAATGGCTAAAATCACAACTCCAATTTTGACCAATCAGATGGCTAGATTTCTAAAGAGAGGTATATAAAGGCTCCTGTAATTACTATGTAGTAAAATACAAAGGCATCAGGAAAAGCAGTGTTAATAATTATGAGGCTTCCCTCGGAACAACAGAAGACCAACTTTGAAAGTGGTTATTGTACAACACGCATAGTGGAAGGTTAAAGCCCCAATGCATTACTTATAGCTACTTGCGCCCTCTATATAGCAAACAATGCCTAATTGGTGCCTGTTGGTTCCCCCATGATCCCCTTTTTCTTATGTTAATTGAGAGCTGATTTGATGAGATAACCACCTGTCAGTGACCAGCAGGGTGGTCTAATCCCGCCTGGCCAAACTATTGCAGGCGGGCTTTAAATGATTACGCAGGGGGTCAATTTTGGAGGTGTGAATTCCGCATCTGTCTGTAACTTAGCGTTCATCATTCAGTCCTCTGAAAAGTCACCCGGCCTCACAGGGCCCTCTGTTGAACTTCCTGAAACTGTCAAGGTCAGAGTGTGAAAATGTCAATCACTTGGCAGAGTGAAGACGTCCGGGTGCATCATGATTGACAGCCTGGAGGGGATGGGCCCAAAACTTCCTCGATCACTGACTCATGGTGGGGTTCGAGAGGGTGGATGTTATGTCACCAAGAATGGTTGAATAAGGGTCAGTTACACGAAGGGAGCGTACTAATAGTGGAAGTGGAAACAATTATGTCATGCAGTTGAGGTCAATCTTAAAGTGATATTGATACAAGCAGAACCAGAACAGGGGATGTTTCATAAAGCTGTTCTTAAAGTCATGCGTAACTTTATGAATGACTTGTATATGAAAAGCCAAATGGGATGCTCATTCATTATTAAATACATCAACTAAATTTGAACTGTGCAGATGTAGATTAACATTCTTAAGATAATAAACATTTTTAATGCAAAGTTTATTTTTTGCCATAATTTAATTGAGGTTATTGAAAATATCAGAAAAAACTTTGGGCATCCTATCTGGCACTTCATATACAAGTCGTTCGTAAAGTCATGCATAACTTTACGAACAGCTTTATGAAACACCCCCCTGGAGAGTGTTTCATCAAGACTAAGAACGACTTTAAGTTGGACTTAATTATAGCAGGCCGTTCATGCCACTAGTTCCTCTAATCATTCCTCGTATTGGTTTCTCAAGGGACGTACAAATCATGGTCACATTATTGAAGGACAAAATATTATTATCTAAAGATCCAATTGAGAGACCAGTGGTGAGAGCAACTAGTGTCATAAATAGCCTGCCATAGTTAAGTCCAACTTAAAGTTGATCTTAGTCTTTGTTAAACACCCCCCAGGATCGATTGCATTAGGTTTTGGATGTAACCCTAAGTGTACCCAGAGAGGAACATGCCTGGAGCCAGCAGCTTGTGCATTCTCAATGTGTCCAGTTTTATGTATACCAAACTAGAAAGGAAAACTAAATGTGAAATCACTCTGAAACCGCCAATGTAACTCATGTAATAAAGAAAAGATTTTTTGCATTTATTGAAAATAATTTACAGCCTCCAACCAGGTACCATCATGCATCACCAGGGTCTCCTGTCCTTCTGGTCGATGCCAGCGGTCATCGTTATGGAGAGGGTCAGGCGGAGGTCGAGGTCAGGACGGCCAGTATGTCATCCCCAGCAAAGGTCATCTGCCACACCCTGTCCAGCTTGGACAATGACATCAGGTAAGGTCAAGCAAAGCTGAGATTCACATTCTTAACACCCGAGTTCTGTGCTCTTTTGTTATTTTTGTTGTTGGAGAGGGTGTTCGGGTTGAAATTTTCAGAGTCTATACATTAGTCCATGTTAAAATGTTCAAACGTTTGGGGTTTGGAGTTAGATTGGCTCCTGTGGGTGTTTGTTGGTTTCTCGTCCAATTTACATTAAAATGTGATAATACGGTATATTATATTTCACTTTTTGTTCTGTAGCCAAACAACGTAAACCATCATAATAACATATGCAGAAATTATGAATTTTTCAAGTATACACTTGTCCCATCCATGTGCATTCAATAGATTAGTCCTCTTTCATAAAATGTTATGTTTTTAAACCAAAACTAAAAAGTAATGAATGTAAGTCCAAAAGACACATTCCTCATTGGTTGAAAATTTACTGTTGTGTTTAATGCATGCAAAATGTCCCCACAGAATGTACAAAAAAATCCTTGCCAAGATATTAACTTTCCAGTTCCTCAATTATGTGTCAATGCAATTTTCCCCAAACTTAATTGGTCAGTGTATTTTCCCTAATTTTATTTTATTGCATTCATTTTGAGCCTATTAATATCGGGGTCAAATCGCCCTTTAAACCTGTTTAACATGGGTTGGTTAATATTTCCCAGGTACTGGATATAAACAAAACATGGAATCACTTGGTTTGGGGGCTTTACGATAATCCATGGAGTTACTGAGCAGATACTTGATACTTGTTTTGGCTATGCTTGTATCAAAGCGTTACATAGACTGTCAGTTTGGTATTAAGTGTGAAGTTATGTTTGAATGCCAAATGCCTTGCCTAAAGTGTGGTGATCCTCTTAAACTACCTGTAAACTACTCTATCCATATATTCATTTACGTTTAGAGAGTGTTGATTTCAGGGTTTGAACGTTATGAAGTATCTATTTACCAAAAAAATGGCAAATGTGTCCAAGCCCAGGATTAGAGTGATTTGGAACTTGTTTTTACTTTCTTGTATTGGTACAAATGGGTGGTAGAAAGAGAAGAGAGAGCAAGAGAGAGTGAGAGAGTGAGAGAGTGAGAGAGGGAGAGAGAGAGAGAGAAGGAGAGAGAAGGAGAGAAAAGGAGAGAAAAGAGAGAGAGAGAGGAAGCTAATAGGCAAACTGCCAATTTCAAAACTAATGAAATACTTGTGCTGTAAGTCTGTAGGCCGGGCAGCATGTGCGACGTAGCTTGTCTTATGCTGGAAATATTTGGAAATCAATATTCAATATTGTCTTGAAAATGTTGTCAAATCCTCTTTTTCAACATGGGACTTACATGTTTATGTATCCCTGGATGTTCTAATTATATTGATTTTTGCGGCAGCGAAATCTGCCCCTCTCCGGCTGTAAGACCAGCATAATAAGTTTGGGGGGTATAATAATAATTTAAAAACAAATGAAGAAGATCCTGCTGTATGGATGGACCTCCATAAATCACTCTACTTCTTCTACTTCTACGACGATACTCAGCAGGATCCATAAGTCAGGATGTAGTGCTGAGGAATAAACTATCTAGTTCTTGGTCTAGATGCTTGGTGGAAGCGCTCCCTTGAAGCCCTCCAGTGAAGTAGCGCCCTCCAGTGCAGATGTCAAAATCTTAACTTCTGTCTATAGCGCATTAACCTTAAATATTATTTTAACCCGTTGACTTCTGCGTTGTCAAAATCCCAAAGGCTTAATAACAGGGATCACCAGGTTCATGTAGGCAATAGGCTGATAATCCCAGGAAGAAAAGGGCTATAAATTGAGCCTTACTTGATCAATAATGTAACAACTTTGTGGTCTTTCTGTATGTTACTGGTATGTTAATTAATTTTTGTTTTGTTTCCCTGTAAAAATCTCATTGGAACATACAACGGAACTTTGCGTAAAGACCACCTGCCTATAAAGACCAACTTTCTTGCCTCCTTTAAAGCCCCTCTGCACCAATTTGGCCAGGAGGGATTAGACCTCCCTGCATGGTCACTGACAGGTGGTTATTTCATCCAATCAGTTCTCAATTATTAAACATAAGAAAAAGGGGACCATATGGGGGACTAATGGTCACCGATTAGGCATTGTTTGCTATATAGAGGGCGCAAGTAGCTATAAGTAGTATAGTGGGGCTTTAAGCAGTACAGGATTCAATCTATTTGTAATTGTAGGAACAGGGGATCTGTTGGGAGGGGAGGGGGGGGGGGTAACTTTCCCACTAGCCCCTGTTAGTGTTTAGTTGTGCTTACATACAGCTAGGTTGACATACTATTCAAGGTTGTGGGAACAGAGCTGATTTTGCTCCAGTTTCAAATGAACTTAGTCATGTGTCACCTTGAAGTCATCAAACAAAAATTGATCTTGAATCTGAAGGGCAATTTCCTGCATAGGATTTCCCTCATGCTATAACCATGGACCTATTACGGATGGACATTCAACGTGATTCTTTCTTTGATCCAATGATAGTTGCCGCCTTCTGATTATGTGCATCTTAATGGGAACATTCAGCTGTTTTAACAATAACGACTGCGTAAGCATTTTCGGTCATTGACAAAGGAGCAGTTTCCCTCTCTTGGGTTTTGTTTGGATGGTGTGCTCTGTAAGAGTGTGTCTTAAATGATAGCATTCCCAATGGGGGAGCAGCAAAGTTGAAAAGCAGACGATTTTGGTGATATGAAATGTATTATTACTGATTCGCAAACTTTCGCACACACCTATGACCTTATAAAACAATTAGAAGGCCATGATCTGTATCACCCCTGTGCGTTGTAACTCTGGAATATTATGAGGAAATAGGGGGAAACAGGATTTTAAATCACAACCAAAAAATCCAAAAATAACCTCTATCTGGTAATATCAACATGTTTTTCAAAATAAAATACATGTACAGTACACTTACAATATCCGATTATAAGCCAGAACTGCACATCGATTTTCCATGATTTAGGCGAGTAATTATCTTCTGCGCATGTAGATTAACATGTGTAAAATCACTATCTTGATTCTGTCCCGGCTTTTTGCCGGCGACCATGATGAGACCAAATTGAAGAAACATGTACAGAATGTTATTGAGACGACATTGACGGAGACAATCACTATGAATTTGTTAAGAAAACGATGAATGTCCATCTGCAATACGTCCATGCTATAACCCACTCCCATCAATGGGCTCAATGAATTAAAGGCAAGCAGAAAGTAGATTCTTATAGAATTATGAAATGAGTTGTAAGCTGAATTTTCATGACCACAAATTAATGTTTTACTAAATATTTTTGGTAGAAAATGTGAAATGGCCCAAAAATTTGAAAAATTGTAAAGAAAATAAGAAATCTATCTATAGTTAGTAGTCAAACTCATGTGTACATTACATGTATTATTTCCACAAGTTCCGTATGTGCAAAAGAGAGAAGTGACTGATAATTGCATTGCTAGCAATTTACAGTATGTGTTTTTAAAAGCATTTTAAGATAGAAGAATCTACACACATCCTGTTTAAAAGGAAAATGTACCCCTGTATATAAATAATATATTTAATATAAATAAATAATAGTACATTTATAGAGCGCAGAAACTATCCAACATTAGGTATATATTCTACCGCGCTACAAGAGCTCCTGATATGCTTAGATTTACGGTACAGTTAATTAAAAAGATGTGTACATGATACTAAATAAAGATAATTAGGATTGTAATAATCAACACTTTTATATTATTTACAGTATTACAAGTTATACATAATATTGAAATACCAACAGGTTGAAGTTTGGATGATATTTATCTGCCTAAGCCTGACAATGAAAAGGAATAACTCAAGATGTGACACATTGCTTTTGAAACCTGACCTAATTGTGGCTTGGAATGTACATACCCTAGTAAAATAAAAGAAAAAACATAGAGAACAAACAACACATGAGATATGTTTTTTTACTATGTTCATCTACGGATATATTTTTTAGATTTTTCATTTTTCCATAAGAATATAGAAGTAAAGTCCAACTTAGAGATAAGTTCAACTTTGGATCTTTGTGAAACACCCCCCAGACCTAACTGTGCCTAGTAGGAACTACGCTTCAAACTAATCCACTTTAGTCTCCAATTGAAGATGTCAAATTAAATAGATGATCATCCTGAATAGTGAAAAGCAAGAAAAATATCAGATAAGATTAATGCTCTTCTTCATTAACCTGACCATAAGGAATGACGTGACAGGTTGTTTCTGAAGCCTGACCTAATTGTGTGCCCCCAGGAATGTACGTACCCTTCAATGTAATCCAAGTGTTTCCTGTTGCCTTCATCACCTGCAGAACGTTTGACGTAGACAGCATTGAATGAATGCACTCCAAAGTGCTCCGTGAATGCCAAGTGTTCTTTAAGACTAACAGGATGTATAGAGCAATGGTATACACAAATATGGGGTATAGTCATGTGCAAGAACAAGTCAGTGCCTATATTGCCTTTTAGGAAGACATTAATCCCCAAATAGTGACTAGCCCTTGAATGAATGTCCTGAAGTTGTAGGTTCCTAAAGTTTCTTGCTTACAAATGTCTTCTTAGCCCTGTAGTGAAATAATCAAAGAGCGATCAATCAGACAATGAATCAGCCATCCAACTGAGAACTCAAATCCTCTTCATTCACTGTTCGTGTATCGTCCTCGTCGTGTGACAAATTAAAATGAAATGAGAGGTTGTCCACTTTCAGGGTACAGCACATATGGAAAGTCAAACTTTCAAAACTCGTTTGCGTCAAATGACTTTGCAGTTTTCAGGCTTGTCGGAGATGGCTTGGTTTCCACTCCAGAGATATGCACCCAGTTCCAAGAATTCAAGCAAAGACACCGCTTAAGTTGTAAGAAATATGAATAACTATTGCTGGGCTTTGGAAAGCAAGCTCGTTAGTCCAGAGTATGTGGAGAACTATGTGCAACTGTATATCTTTGTTGTTGAAGTATTCAGCATCGTAGGAATTCTTCGTTTGGTGTACGCATGTGTGTGGGTTAGATATTTGTGTGTGTGATCTTGTGTGTATATTATGAAATGCAAAACATCCTGCCCTGCCAAGTCCAATATTTCCTTACCCCACAGAAACGCGGGATACACAGAGGAAGCGGCCAGGGTACATATCGACTCGGTTCCCTCGGTAACCATCCTCGCTGACGCAGATTCCAGAGAAGGGGCTTCCGTGGAGCTCGACCAGCACACGCAGCACGGTCTCCCAGGGCAGAGCCCCGAATCACCCGTCATCTCGCGGGAATCATCCATGGCTTGTAAGTTTATTTTCGTTTTTGTAATAAGTTGCCTTTCCCCTCATTTTTCCCGGTAGCCCCCTACCGTTGCCTGCCAGGGACTTCCGGTTGGAAACTTGGCGAGGCTAAATATAGGAGCGCTGTGATGTAATTCAGGCTCAGTCATCATGAAATACAATACAATCATGTATTATCTGAAAAGCTCATATGTTTTCTAGGAATTCCATATGTATGCCTCGATCTGCTAACTATTCCCAAGACTACATGTAGCGAAACTGCCAGTTTGGACACCTGGAAGAATCTTCTAGAATTGAAGGATGGAATGTCTCTGTTCGTGAACAAGCAAACGCAAGGGCATATTTGTTATCATAAATTGGTTTGTAAAACTCCTAGTTTGGAGCCAAGGCTCTATTGAAAATTAAATCTCTGTTTAAACACTGATTGAATTATACATAATGGATCATTTAAAGATTCTTTAATGATTTACAAATTAGATAAAGATTTAAAAACCGTCCAATCAATCTATGACACGATGCCTACATGTAATGATACACAACGATCGGGATACTACTGTTGTCAACGCTGCTGCTACTTCTATTCTGCTACCATTACTTCTTCTACTACTAACACTTCTTCTATATGCTTTATATACTTCTACTACAGTCAAACCTGATCTAGTGACCACCTAAAAAGACCACATTTGTTGTTTCCCTTGACTGAAAATGGTTTCTCATTGAAATACGTACTAATGGAACCTCTAAATAAGGACCATCTGCCTATAAAGAACATTTTTCTTGTGTCCCTTGGGTGGTTATTATAGACAGCTAGGCTTTACCGTACTATTTTTGTTTCACACTGTCCTCCATGCAATATTATAGTATTAATGACTGCTTTGAGAGAAATAGTTGTTTTTATACGCTCAAGGGAAGGTTAGAATTGTGCTATTACGCGAGGCGTGCCAAGGGCAATAGCCCAATTGTAACCTTCCCGAGAGCGTATAAAAACAACTATTTCTCGAATATTAAAGCAGTCATTAATACTTTTATATGCCGAAAAAAAATAGACTAAAAAATAAAAAATAAAAATAAAAAAAACTTTTGTCGACGATGGGATTCGAACTCTTGCGTACAAAGGGTGATGTAACCAAAATCACCGCCTTAAACCTCTCGGCTATCGCGCTCTGTTTCCTTATTAAGCAGTTTTCTCTAATATATACATTAAAATGGATTGACAACGGCTTCGGTGGTGGATGCTTCGCTTCTGCTCCATTAAACGGGCCCTTCTTTTACTTTTGCAATGAACTTAGATCAAGATCTATCGGCAGATGTTGTTTTTTTGTTTTTGGAAGTTTATTTTCGTCTTCATGTCAACAATGCAAGATAAAATTGTCGGTAAGATCGATCGAGATTCAATTGTATTGAAATTACTGACCAATTCTTCGCACACGTACGGTATCCTCGATCGCTCAGACCATTTTTTAACATGTAAACCTATGGGGTAACCATGGAGACTGACCTATTTTCCCAATAACCATGGTTATTGGGATTTTGAACTGTTTTAACCATGGTTACTGGGAATTTTTGGGAACAGTTAAAGTTTATGAATGCAATTTCAACCAATCAGATGGCTGGATTTCTTAAGTGAGGTATATAACATAGTATACTTCATCTTTTTAATCATCCACACTGTTTTTGTTATTTACATGTGCATGTTGTGAGGTGCCTTGAGCATCCCTTGGGATGGATATATGCGCATTAGAGATGTTTCTAACAGTAATTCTGTTATTACTAGGGCTGCTATTTAGGGTCCATTTGGCAAATGTTATCAATCGTGAGTTCATATTCATCACTCACTTCAGAAGACCACCTAGATACAATGTTATGGTTCATGAAACTTTGTGGTAGGTCTACGGATTCACACCATCACGCAACATGTTTAATCATGTTTAAGAATCTGATTGACTCCAGGCATGACATCACACACCAATCTCCACCCCCCCCCCCCTATTGACCCACTTCTTGATACTTCTACCCTTTACAGCTCTCTTCATAAGCCTATTTATATCCATCATTTCTAAAGGCTATCCCAGGACTTGTGCCTTTGTACACTTTAGGCCTGTCTTCCTCAGCTCGAGTTTGCCAAATAACCCGCTATTTTTAGACTCGGGATATTATCCTGAAGCTTGAAACTGTGTTTTCACCAGACCGATACACTCATCACAAACTAGCTTGGATGGGCGCAAATTAGCCCGCTATTTCCCAAATAGCGGGATGTTTTGGAAACAGGACCAAGATTTCGCGGGATATTTTGCTTGACCAAATATCCAGCTAATTGCAAATGTAGGCTGATGAAGACGCAAGTTAGCTGGATAATTTGTGATCGGGATAGTTGAAATAACTGGTTTTTTGGCAAACTTGAGCTGATGAATACAGGCCTGATGTGGTAGGTCTCAAGAAAGACATGATAGAACAGACTACGATCTAATTGACTGCAGATGTGTTAATAACATGACCTGCTTCTTGGAGGTTTTACCCTTTAATATAGAGTGGTGCAGTATGACGTCTTCAAAAATCTATTTTTAGAATTTCTCAATTTTTTCTTCATTTTCCGAAAGAGCATAACAAATAATGTCCAAATGTTAAAAAACCAATTGAATATCTTAACTATTGGCTGAGATATGGCCATCTGAATAAAAAGATTTCCCATAGGAATTCAGTGTTATTTGCTCTGAGTTCCTAGGAAATACATTTATTCAAATGGTCATACAGTATCTCAGCCAATACTTAACATACCAGCATTCAATTGGTTTTCGACATTTGGACATTATTTGTTATGCTCTTTCGGAAAACGAAGAAAAAAAAAGAGAAATTCTAAAAATTGATTTTTATGATGTCACAGCTTCGGTACTCTATACATAACCATAGAAATAAGAAGTATGATAAATCCAGAAACTTTTGTCACATGAAGCTTTTGCAATTCTCATTTTTACCCTTTACCCACATATCCTGTACTTCACTTGCATTTTGATTAGTTTTCATCAACAATTTTAGTCAATATTTTATCATTTTGGTATTCAAAGTACAAAAATAATTCTTACTTACTTGCTACATAGTCTCCTTTTACCAAAAAACTTCTAGATGATTCTTTCATAATCCCAATGCATGACCAGAACACAGCCAATTTCAATGAACAGACTCGAGAAAATTTGTTATAGGTCCGAGGATTTACGTCATCTAACAATCTTGTAGAAAAATCTTGCAAAATAGGCATGACATCACAAGCAATTCTCGGAGTCTGGTCGGGAATTTTTCATCACTGTAATGAATTCCCCCATGACTCCTGATACTATCTGTTTCCTCTTGTCCCATCTATTTATATTCATGTCGTCCTTGAGGTCAAAAGATTCGGTGACCGTGGACCTCACTACTGGTTATGTGTACACGTTTGAGCATCAGTATGGACATATTGGATGTACATGCAAGCTTGAAGGAAGGAAATCAATTAATAAATTAATAAACCTACAGATTAGCAGCTAATCAAAAGAAATTGCCTTTAATAGTAAAAAAATGTCTTGCTGATAATTAGTATTTTGGACATTAAATCCACTAACAGCTAATTTGCTAACGCACAGTTCTATATTGAAATCATTATGAAGATTTAATCCGAAGCCCTCAATTGCAGAAATGTGTAAGTTCGTTCTCAAGTTTGAAAATATTGCAAATTTTAGAGCGAAAAACACAGGAAAAACCTTCAAAAAATAGGAAGGCGAGAGATACATGTAAAGTGACTGAGACCTGTTTTGGGAGTGTCAAAGTTAAATTCATATTGAAATGTATTCTTTCTGTATCATGGTATTTACAAATGACAAAAGGGACTGTCCCCATAGCACAATGTACAGAAGCATACTGATTTGTCAATGGGAACACACTAGCTTGCTTGCAGTGAAATGTCATTCAGTAGCAGCTACATGTAGTGATCAATGGTTGAAGTAGACATCCACTGGCCTTAATCAGGTCCATTTTGACAAATTTTGACATTTTGTTCAAGGGAGCCATTGTCTGAACAGACTTCATCTTTGCCAAATTTCTTTGAAGGTTAGTCATTTTTGTTGAGAACATAGGCCTCTGTCTTTGAATGAATAGCTTATTTTCTTGTCAACTGGAAACAAATGAAGTGATAATATGCAGTTTTTTATAATTTGTATACTATTATGGCCCCTTGTTCGTCTGTATTTCTTTTTCACCACACAAAACAATAATGGCAATAGTTACAATGCAGTGTGATCTAGTTTCCGTTTCCGTTACGAATTCCAAAAAGCTTCCAAATTCCAGAAGGAATTCCAAAATAATTGAAATCCACATATCCATCTTTTAATATTTGTCAAGGATCACAAAAACATCAAATACAAGCAAAAAAATGTTATCCAGATTCTTGTCAGATTTCTAAATTAATGTTCACCTCGTTCATGTATTCCTATATAAAAATGATGTCATGAGTATTTCGCTATAATTCATCAACTATGGTAAACTTAAACGAACCTGACAAATTGCTTATAAGGACTTGCCAAGACGGCTCACATGCTTTTAGATGAAACCTGTTTTAATTCCTCACACTGTCATCTCTTTAAGAAGCAAGCCATCTTGCTGTATCTGGGATGACCCCCTTGTTACTATTTTTAATCACTCGTGATCGACATACGCTTGCCAAAAATGACAAAATTCGGGGACAAGCACTCAGAGAGTGAGTGGGCCGAGCCTTAGAAGAGATAATGGATGTTTCCGATTTGAGATATTCCTAGATCTTGGGCTGTCAGAAGAGTCTTTTTGGGTCATGTTTGCGGATGCTTGGAAACATCTTGATGTATGCAGTTGCCAAGAAATTTTGGAGTAGAATGTTTTGGATTGCAATCTGATTGATTTGCGGATTCTGCACTCATTCAAGCTTCAATGGTGTCGTTGATGTAGTGTCTGTGGCTCAACGAATGCATGAAAAGTAAAGAAAAAGAAATATGTTTTATAATT